AACGCATCGCACAGACAGCACGGGGGGATTGTGCCTTGTCCAGCAGTGGTTCAAGCATAGGGGATGTTGCTCAAGTGTGCAAATTCTGATAATGTGGACGCATTTTTCAAATTAGAAAATAATACAGCGTTGTTGATGTACACATTTCATTACACACAGGAACGCGTGCACCAACTGTGAAATGTGTTAATAGAAAATTACATGCCTGTAATGTCTGTAAAGTATAGATACAAGCAGCTAATGTAGACACCACAAAGTCATACTCTGTAAGCTAGAGCCCAATATGCAACAAAAGTGCAGAAAAGAACAAATTTGTGTGTATCATGGTATCTTGGTTATTTGTTGAGCTGTGTAATGCCAGAAATTAGTGTCATTTTTAAGTTGTAATGGTGAGCAATCAAGTCCTCCTGAATGTCTTTGGTTCCTGCAACTTTAATCTTCATGTTCTAGTATAAGATTTGGTGTAAGATGTGTAACAGGCTGCTCTCCAGACACGTTCTGCCCTCCTGAAGTACCCTCAAGGGCAGGGTGAGCTCGATCTTCAAGCTATTCTGTGTGATGTTTTTCAAGTACAAAAGGCACTAGGTTTGTTCAGCAGTTGTAAAATGTAAGCTGGAGGTGTTGGCTTTAAACTGCACAGGTGTTTTACAGCCACAATGAAAGGAGTAATGGCAGCTCAGGAAAAGGTTCCTGCTTTATTTGTTGGGGAGGCAGAAAGACTGTGCAGGGAGCAGAAAGCACTGCTGTGCAACAGGAGTTTCTCCAGCTGTATGGCAGGAGCTCTGTTAATACCAGCGTAGCAGATCTGTTTGAGGCTACCCCGTCTGACCTCGTGGCGGGCTTTAACCAACGAAGCATGTGCACGAGAGACGTCGAGGTTTGTTTGTCATCTTATCTCGGCTCGCAGAAATGACCGGATGTTCAGGTGCAGCGCAGAAGGCTGCGGGAAGAGTTTCTACGTGCTGCAGAGGCTGCAGGTTCACATGAGGACTCACAACGGCGAGAAGCCCTTCATTTGCAAGGAGACGAACTGTGGCAAGAGGTTCACCACTGCTGGAAACTTGAAGAACCACAGACGCACACACACAGGTGGGGAAAGCAGGACGGACCCCTGCATTTAAAAGCCCAAATGTCCTGGAAGCAATAGCTAACTAAGGCCATTTGACTCTGCTCATTTAATGCTTCCTTGGCAGAGTTAATGCTGGAGATTTGAAGAGTCAGCAGCACTGGCCCCTCCATTTTACTGCTGCAATCAGTAACACTACTCTGTCATATTTTATTTAGGGTGGCATTAAGGTTTCTGATGGCGTGCTCCACAGTCAGTTAGGTGACCTGTGCTTAGTTTCCGCCTGTATATCTGGAAGAATGAGCCGTAGCTGACTTATCTGGGTTATTTTGGTCATCGCGGCTTTCAGAAACGACAACAACAAAGCTGCAGTTTATTGTAATTTCCAGTGCGTCGGGGCCATTCAACGCATCCCTTTGAACGCATCCGCATCTGATACTTTCTGCAAAAATAAGAGTTTAATTGGGGCTTTGTAATGCGGAGGTAAACAATATGTATATTTGTGGTGGGTGGCTGCTTTCAGGAGAGAAGCCTTTTCTGTGTGAAGCAGATGGCTGTGGGCGATCCTTTGCAGAGTATTCCAGTCTACGAAAACACATGCTCGTGCATTCTGGTGAGTGGGACAAGTTCACAGCTGCGCAGCAGTGCGCTCCTTTGTAATTAGTAAGCTACAGATAAAGTGTAAAGTAGTGCGCCTTGTAGACGGCGTCCTGCAGCAGTTCAGAAGAAGAATAAAGTTTTGCTTGGTGTCTGTGTGCGTACTTCCCAGGTGAGAAGCCTCATGTGTGTGGGATCTGTGGGAAGACTTTTTCTCAGTCGGGCAGCAGAAACGTCCACATGAGGAAGAGACACGGAGAGGAAGGACTCAGTAGTGAAAGCAGAGAAACAGGTCTTTCTCCCTTTGTCTGTCTTACTCACTCACACACACACACACACCCACACACCCACCCAGTGTGGTGGGTGGATATGCTAATCCTTGGATTATGTAGCTTCAAGCTGCCCATACATTTTAAAGTCTGCATAGAGATGGTGTTGCTTTAATTTACATTTAGGAACATTTCTTGAATTGTTAATGACTTCTAGCACTTAAAAATGTATCATTCATATTTTTATTCTTCAGGCCCAGTAGCTGAATTGTTTTAGAATGCACATAGCTTCAAAAAAGAAAAAGCAGAGACAGCAAAACGCTGCTGCAGGGGAAAAAAAAAACGAAGCCTGTTGGGCTTTTTGTGATGGGGTCAGATCCTCTAAGAAGTCTTTAATCACCAAGTTAAAATAACATCATCTTGCTTTATTGAAATGCATTCACCTGCTGAGATAATTGAGTGAATATATACGGTTAATCTTCCAATACAGCTGAGGCAAATTTACACAGTCACTCCTGTCTCTATTCTCGGTATCATTTTCAGTACCTTTCAGATTAAAAGGATCGTTCATTGAGCTTTTCACATTCCAGCATCTGGAACAATTGAACAAAATAAGCTTAAATTCATTTTTAGCATGAAACAATGACAGCAGACAGCACATTTGCCTCCTTGTCACATCTCTGTAGCAGCAGGGAAGCACAGCAGCTGAATCACCGCAGAGGAAACGCTGCCAAAGCTCTAATTATAAACAGCAGATTTATTCGGGTCAGCCTCCCCAAAGAGGCCAGTCTTTTGTAAAAGCAGTGCAAAGGAAGATGCAGTTGCACAACAGCCTGGTAGTTTCTGTTATTTATACATGACAAGAGGTACTGGATTAATTATTAAATTGATTGTGAATAACTAGAATAAGCAAACAAAAATCAACATTTATACAGAACGCATTCTAGAAATCTAGATTCCAGTTTTTATCAATTATTTTTTAACTTCAGAGCATCATTTTCTAACCAGCACTGGCCTGTGGTGATCACACCGAGGCTGCAGGTTGAGTCCTGGTTTCTATAAAGATGACGGATTACTCTAAATGTGCTCTCTCTTGTGTTGAGGTTTGGGAAAAACAAAAAGTTTGATGTCTGTGTGCAACTGACAGGAGAGGCTCTGACACAAAGCAGCCTGCTGGAGGCAGATGGTGAGAATGGAGACAATATGGTCACCATGACAACAACTGTGGAACCCATGAATCTCCACCATGCCATGCTGAGATCACCAGGTAGGCGTTTGAACAAGTATGACAGGAAAAAAAGGCAGTTCATAAAGAGTGGATTTAAAAAACACCTAACACATCTGACAATGCTGTAGCCCTGCAGTAAACTCTCATTTGGTGAAGCTCATAATGTTCTGTTAATGTCAGGGATGCTGAGTCAACTTGTGGTGTCACTAATGTCCCATTAAGTGTTTTTCAGGGAATGAGTCTTTTGATAACGGCGGCTACACTCAGGCTGTGTAGACTTGTGTTTGCTCGAGTTTTCATGTCTCTGAAATTTCACATTTAGGCTGTTTCCAGCAGTTCAGCTGGCACTCTTTGCATTGTACCTGTTAAATAAATAAGATTAAAAACAAATTTGTAAATAACATTGATAACCTCATGCTGGTAATAATAAATTCACTAGTGTAGCACTGCTGCTTGCATATTATTTTTGTTTTGAGTGTTCGCCCACCTCTCAAGGTTTTGTTTTTTTAACCAATCAGCCATAAAATGCTGATGCGGTATTGTCATCACCCCGCAGCACAGGTGGGCGATGTGGACACGATTACTCAAGAACAAGGCGACATGGGATTCTAAAATTCATACCATGGGTGCATCTACCACAACTCTTGGACGAGTATGAAGTTTAATGACCTTGACCTCAAGATCAAGGTCAGAGGTTAAGCTTTCAGAAAATCATCTGAGCGCGATAACTCAAGCAGTTATTGCACTGGTGGCTGCCAGTATTTTTTTTTTACTTGGTAAACAAGAAAAGACTGCGATTCAAGCGCCTGTGTAAATGGTTATGGGACTGTGTTGATGACATAGTTCACATAAGCAATGACCAAAGTGTCAGTGCCAACCATAACTTTCAACTGTTTATCCAAAATATAAGAGCTTGTTCCATCCTTCTGTGGAAGGAGCTTGAATTTATGAGACAGACAGACTCTCTGCTTTAAAGATCAAACTTAACACTATTTTTGATAAACCTTATAGTTACGTCTGGATCAGGTGACCTTTGCAATAGGTCGAGGCTCCTGGGGGCTTCACATAATGCACTGTTTCTTTTTCACTCTATGTTTATACACATCCTACATTTAATCATTAGTTCTTATTCATCTCTGGATCTCTTTATTTGTCCGGTCTCTCTCCCCTGATCCCCAGCCAGTCACAACAGATGACTCCCCCCTCCCTGAGTCTGGTTCTACTTGTGGGGTTGTTTGTTTTTTTTACTCTCTTTACTAAAAGGGAGTTTTCCATTCTCACGGTCTGATTTTTGGGTTTTTCTATTACTGAAGGCTCTTTATCTTACTATATAACGTGCCTTGAGGTGACTGTTGTTGTGATTTGGTGCGATATAAATAAAATTAAAATTATTTGAACACTGAAGAGCCAGGTGATGTAGTTCAGACGTGTGGCTGGGAAGCCTGGAAACATCCCAGCTGCATACAACTTGTATGTATTGCAGAAATTCAAGAACGGCTTCATCAGCACAAAGGCTGAAAGTGCTTGGTTTGATTTTACAATGTCTGCACCTTCATGTTATTTTAAATACATACAGGGTGAATAACATCCTCTTTGAACTTTCCTTTGTGTTTGTGTAGGCTCTGCAGACTCTGTGGTAGTTCTCTCTCAACCGCATGAACTGGTGACCATGACAACGGAGGGCCATGCATATGGAGAAGATGTAGTTGCTCTGCTGTAGTCCACCTTCACAACAAACATCGCACACTGCGTGTTGCAGCAGCACTGGGCTGACTGCCACAGTGGACTACATATAGATATGTATCTGTAAAAAGATGACTTTCAGACCTGTAGACCATTGTAGATATTTGTAATTAGCAACCAGTGATGATTTTATTTTAATAAGCGTGAAATGGCAAAGTTTGTACAAACATTTTTTTTTCCTCGTGTTTTTGAGAACAAAGACTCCCAAAGAAATACTGAGACGGGTTTTGCTAGTTTATGAAACTATAATGACCAGGAATGCTTATGTGCTTCATCATTGTAGACACTGAAATGCAGTGATGGTTGTTAATGAAAAACAAGTACCCCAAAACCTCAACGGCTGATAAGTTAAATTTAAATGTACCAGACACCCATTATAGCCATTATTCTTTTGACTAATAACGAAACACTTAACATTAAAAACCACTCAAGCACAGTTAATCAAATGCTGCATGTAAATGCTGGTATTACATGACTTAACAAGTCAGGCCTCTCTGTTTATCAGACTTAGTAAAATAGAAAACATCTATCTCGAATAAATTCTATATCCACTAATCCCCAGAGGTGCATTAACAGAGTATGTTATTGGTAAAATGTTTCATTCAGCCTCTTGTGCTTCACTTGTTCTCCGAGTGGGGCAATGCATTGCTCATATATAGCTCAATATATTAACACTTGAGAATAATTGCTTTTTAAAAGAAATTAAGAATTACTCATGAGGTTAGTTCTGCCCTTATAAAACCAACACCAGCTGTCTGCTGCTCTTAGATAAGGTAGTGCACATTACTTGAGTGTGGTTAGTGAGCGCCACCTAAAATCAGCTTCTCGTTGTCAGTGTACGCTCCTCACTTCTCAGTGAATCTTCAGGTAGTGGAAGTGATCCAATGTAGCACCCAGTGCCCAGCTAGCCTCCACGTTATTCACTTTCTTGGTTAGCTAAGGATGGAAAAAAAAAAAAAAACAACCACCAAATCACTCAAAGGATTTTTGTATTTACTGAAATAAAAAAGGTAATGGAATTTTTTGTGTAAAAGTGCCTCTTTTCCTTTGTTTTATTAAAAGAGAATTGACACAGACAAGTTTCTACTCAAAGTACTCCCAACTTTTTACAATTTTTTTTTTCCAAGGAGTCCACAGATCCCTTCAAATCATCGGTTGCTTGTGTTTCCTCTGCAGTCTAAAGGCCCTCAGAGACTGGGAAGGTTATCCCGCTGACAGATATAAAAGCAACCACTGTTTTTACAACCTGCAGGTTACACTGGCTTCCTCTGTGTGTCAGAGCTGAAGGTCTTTTATCTCATTTCCACTGATGCAATACTAGTGCAGAGACACTTTTCTTTTGGTGTTACATCTGATAGCATTATATAGTGAAAGTTGGGTAAATAAGAAAATGATCAAAGCAGACAGAATCTCATTGGTCAGTTTCTTACAGCAGCCCAATCATTTTTGATGCCATTTCTGGACCCAGTAGTTTTCTTGAAAAGGTCTGGCCTATAGCTGGTGCCCCAAGCAAGATTAAGCCTGCAGTTTTTACCTCTCAGCCAAAAAAGGCAGATTGAATATTGTTATCACTCTGCTGACGGGTACCACTGGCTGCAACCAGTGTTTCTTATATCCGCACTAAATCTGTCTGTGCTTCATTTTTCCTGCATGGCTGTGTGGAGGTGTTGGGTGTTAATATATGCTTTAGAATGTAAGTGCCATGAAACTATCAGAAAATAACATTTTTGGCCCAGTTCCCTACTGTGGAAATGCACAGAGCCCCTCCAAAGGTTCCCAGTCCCTGGGGAGGGTTTCTGAAATGCAACTCACCCTGCAATTTCTGGTAGCACACTTATCTGCTGTTTTCAGTGTACATAGTGAATTTTCAAACATAAAAAGGTAGGATGAGATATTACCATCTCTTCTTTGACTAATGTGTCAGGGCCTCTTTGAAGAAGGCCTGTGAAAATGCTATGAAGTGTGAGGAGCTATTTTAAACCTTTTCATTTGAAACATTGCTTGTGTCTTTTGATAGGTTTCCATCTTATGATTCATCTGCAAGTTTGAACTAAACAGCTCGAAACATAAATAGCTGAATTCATAAAGCCGCGCAGCCTTGTGAAAAATTGTTGCGTTGGGTGTACTGCTTCGTTTGCATTCTTATAACCAAGGCCAGAACCCTGTTAATTTTATTACACAATGCTGCCTCACCTGCAAAACTGTGTTCTCTTTAAAGCCAAACCCATCCTTCAGTAGACAAGTGATGTAAGTCATGTCCATACACAGGAAAGGGTGGATGGGAGGGTACTTGGTCATCTTATTGCACACTAAGCAGAGAAAAGGATAAATAAGGGCTGTTAGGTGTTAGGAATAATCAGTCATCTGTATTCTGCTGTGGATGAGGGCAAGATTTCAGATAGAAATGAGCTCCATTGAGATGCACACTGTGTCTCAAGTACAGGGAGCTGCAGATCTGTCATAGTAATGATGCATTCCTTCGCCCATCTCACCCTCCTTGGCTCTCTTCTTGAAGTCTCTGACCTCCAGCATCCCTCCGTGGACCTCATCTGCAACGGAGGTGACTGAGGTCATCTTACTCACATTTAAAAATGCTACACCATTCATTACAAGAACAGATCTACATGTACATTTCCATAATACTAGTAATAGAGCTTGTGGCCTTTCAGCTTGGACTGGCAAAGAATAGCAATTTCTTTAATACCTACACACCTATAGCTCATCAAATCCCCTGAGACAGGTGCAAGTGACTCACATTTCCCTGCCTATGTCTAGTGCTGGAATGGGTAATGACACCCTACTGGGTCTGTATAATTATATAAGGTGTGTACAAGGGGGTGTGTGTGTGTGTTCACTAACCGATAAGGCCCGCATCCACAGCTCTGTCAAAGTAATAGGAGAATGCATAAAAAACATTGGAGTCTTCAAGCTCGTACGGCTGATGAATAATCCCCTTCACCACCTTAAGTACTTCCTGATAACAAAGCTTGTATCCTGTGTAACCTGGAGGGGAAAGAAAAACAGAGACGGCAGAATAAAGTCAGCATCTTATGTTCATTCAAGTAATCCAAGTATGCCCTCATATTTTTGCTCATATTGCTGCTAATATTTAAATTTCGTATCATGCATTTTGCTCGCATCTGGTAACAGATAAGATCTTTTGTAAAACCCAAGAAAAAAAAAATCAATGGACATTTTTTGAGTTCTTCCTTGCAAACCTTAGCTTTGGGTTTCATCTGCTTACAGCTTGTTATAAGTAAATGGGATCATACCATCTGGGTCCCCGCTCACTTGATAGGTTAGACCTCCAAAGCTCCATTCATCCCTGAACTTCTTTGGCAGACAGGAACTTTTAAAAACCTGCCACTCCAACCCTGTGACAGCGCAGACACCACTTGTTTAAACTCGTGACTGGTTCAACAGCTTCACACAAGGTTACCGTGGTCATAGAATGACTCAAAAAAAAAAAAAAAAAAAAACTCAGGCAGTCACTAACACAATTTTCTCTGAAGCACTTCAGTGAGTCATCTCAGTGTATCTCAGGGCCAGAATCATTTATAACAGAAAACTACATCTCACAAAAATATCTTTCTTTACTTTTCCTTCTCGAGATTTGGAAAATCTAAAAAAGAAACCATTTGAACTGACCCACCTTCTTCTCAGTATCCATCAGTGACGTGCAATGATGACACTGACATGAATAATGGCAAAGAAACACATTTAGTTCATGTACAGCACAGTACCTTCTGCACCCAGAGCTCCCAGTGTGGCCAACCGTGCCGCCATCAGTCCATTTCCAAGATAGCTGCATGAAGTTGAAGAATTGTTACACACTTAGAAAACCAAGCAGAAACAGACTGTGCATGTGACAAATAAGTCATCCTCAAAAGAAGGCAAACAAGTGGTGTTTGCCTATAATACACATCCTCAGTGCAGCATTTGATACAGTTGACCACAACATATTACTCAAACGACTGGAGAACTGGACAGGTCTTTCAGGAACTGTACTAAACTGGTTCAAAACATACGTAGAAAACAGGAAATACTTTGTATCAATAGGTAACTTCACATCTGAGCAGACAAGTATCACATGTGGAGTTCCCCAAGGTTCCATCTTGGGACCCCTTCTGTTTAACATCTACATGCTCCCACTGGCACAGATTATAAACAACAACAAAATAAACTATCACAGCTATGCAGATGACACACAAATATATATCACAATGTCACCAGGAGACCGAGGCCCTGTACAGGCTCTTGGTAAATGCATTGAGGAAATCAATGACTGGTTGTGCCACAATTTTCTCCAGCTAAACAAAAACAAAACTGAGGTAATAGTCTTTGGCGCCAAAGAAAAACGATTACAGGTCACCAGAGAACTTCAATCTATACATCTAAAAACCACAAACCAGGCGAGAAATTTGGGTGTAGTGATGGATGCAGACCTAAACTTAGAAAAACACATTAAGACAATAACAAAGTCAGCTTACTATCACCTCAAGAATATATCAAGGATAAAAGATCTGATGTCTCAACAGGACCTGGAAAAACTAGTCCATGCATTCATCTTTAGTAGGCTTGATTACTGTAACAGCATCTTTACAGGTCTACCTAAAAAATCAGTCAGACAACTACAGCTCATTCAGAACTCTGCTGCTCGAGTCCTCACTAAGACCAAAAAAGTGGACCACATCAGTCCAGCTCTGAGGTCCTTACACTGGCTGCCTGTCCGTCAGAGGATAGACTTTAAAGTTCTGATGCTGGCCTATAAAGCTCTGAATGGTTTAGGACCAAAATACATCAATGACCTCCTGACCCAGTATGAACCATCCAGATCCCTCAGGTCATCTGGATCCGGTCTTTTATCAGTTCCCAGAGTCAGAACCAGACACGGAGAAGCTGCATTCAGCTTTTATGCTCCTTATATCTGGAACAAACTCCCAGAAAGCCTCAGATCAGCTGAAACACTCAGTTTATTTAAATCCAGGTTGAAGACTCACCTGTTCTCAGCTGCATTTGAATAAAGCACCAAATCCACACTTTAAGCTTAAATTTCAAAACTTACATTTAACTACTGATTTTATCTACTGTTCTGATTTTATCTGTTTTGATTTTATATACTGTTGTTTGTTTGTTTGTTAATTAGTTAGTTTATTTGCTTGTTTTATTCAATTTTAAATCATGCTTTTTATTTGTTCCTGTTTCTAATGTCTCTGTAAAGCACTTTGAATCACCTTGTTGTTGAATTGTGCTATACAAATAAACTTGCCTTGCCTTGCCTAAACAGATACTAGACGTTTTCCTAATTAAATACAGATCCGAGTGAAGTCACAGAGTCAGTGTCAGAACTTGAGGCCAATTTTAAATGTGAAAAAGGAAAATATGGAAATGATCTTGATGTGAAATCAAGAAGCAATTTCTTATTCATTCACACTGAATTAAAATGGACTGTATTATGTCTCATGAAGCATACAGTCGTTTCTGAAACAGTTACCTATGAGTGTACAATTCAAATGTTGAGTTTAAGACATCAAACTTAGCAGTGTAGTCAGCAGCAGGAGCACTTTCAGTGGTTTTCTACAGTGGAATACAGAGAGCACAGAGGGTTACTATCACCAAAGGTTAGAGATCAGACAGATTTCTCTCAAGTGTTCAAACAACTGACCCTCAGTTTGGGCAGGAAAGTGATTTGCGTTGATCCTCCTCCCAGATCCAATATTCCCACTGTCTTCTTGCTTCGCGCTTTCAGGTGACCTAAAAAAAAGTCACACTTTAATCCAGAAACCACAACACAAAGGACCGAATCAGTTACACCTGCGATGTTATCTTCAAAAGGCCTATTTGGCAAACATGTACAAGCCAAAGTATAAAATCGCTGGATCCTATCTGATAAAGATCAGAGCACTCCTGTAGGCAGGAAATTCATAGTCGGACACATTTAGCCTCTATTTGTGAACATGAGGTGTGATAACGCGACGGCACCTTTAGATACAAAGTTAAACCTGGATATAAAGTACGAAAAAGAGGTACAAATATTTTACTGTTTAATGCAGTGTACTTGCCTGTTAGAAAGTTCAGCGATATCCAAGCCAGGAGTCCTACATTTACAAAATTAGCACAAAAGAAAAGCAAGAAAACAGAAACCTGTCATTTCAGGTGAAAACAAAGACCATTTAAGAAACTAATTTTGCATATATAAAAGGCATGTAGTCCTATAAACGAGGCTGAAACGCTGACTAATTAATTACACAACGGCACAACAGAAAATAGTATTTTTGCACCGCATAATTACTGACTCATCTTTGTGGTAATATGCCATTTCGTTTTCTTAAGTGTCATCACAAAACACTGCTGTAATCTTCAGCAATTTAGGTTCATGCCTGCAGTAAACAACGATTCTTTACAGAAACTGCACAGCACGCTAAAAGCGGGCAGACAGATCACTGATGCCACCTGCAAAACACCTCAGAGAGGACAACAGCTGCCGTGATATCTGACGGATGTGTTGCTTGTCGGGGCAGAGGGTGGGCAGACGTTACCTTCGTTTTTGCCGTTCATTATGCTGACGCCGTCGTCTGACACCAAAAAAGGAGATTCGTCAAACACGTGTTGAACCTGAGGAAAAGAGGGAGAGACGGGCGAGAGAAAGGGAGATTTAAGTGCAACTAGGCCTTAATGTTATCTAGTGTAATGGTAGCTCATCCAGAGGTGCCCTCCGCTTGAAGGGATTAATTATTTCCCTTGGGGGGGATTAATAAAGTATCATTTATCATTCAAGGTGCCCCAGGGCTATCCATTACTATCTTATCCCCTCCACAAGAGCCTTCCACACTAATCTCCTGCTCTCTGATAACAATACTTCCCCTCCTGTCTCTGTAATACCTGCCACAGCACTTTCCTTTTCTCCCTGCTGCTTTGTTGGATAATAGGTTGTGGGGTTGTTGTTTTTTTCACGATGGTGTCAGACATTGTTGCGCCAAACAACTCCCATATGATAAAGAACTGCACTCTACACAATGCTTGTATTGTGTAATTGCCGTCTCAGGCCTCTCAATAAGGTCTCAGTATGAGACAGTGCACTCTTACCTGGTCCAGAAGAGCCTGAGCTTTCTGTGTGGGCAGCAGCCGAAGTCCAGCCGTGGCTCTGAGGACCAAAGGAGTTCTCTTCCACTCCACACGAGGCACCGTCCTCTTGGCTACCTTTAACAGCATCCTCACTGTTTGTCCAGCCTTTTAAACAGAAACAACAATCACCGCAGAGCAGCCGAAAAGTCTACTGAGTGACTGCTGAGAGCTGAGATGACACTTAGTGTTATGTCAGCTGGGCCTGACTTGTTTGTCATTTTGCATTTCTCACTTTCATTTCTGGCAGCAGGAATGTCTGAATGAGTGCACCCTCCAACTCAATGCAACTGATCAGAGGAAACGCTGAACTCACCGTTTCAGGGACGTCGACATATGCCGACAAGCCAGGCTTTATGGAATGAAACATCTCATTGTCCAACATGGGGAGCTGCTCTGAAAGACACAAGAGCCACCCACGTCACATATAGAACCTCTTAAATTAATTTAGGGAGGTATAAATCTGCTTAGTGTACATATAGCCATGTTTAAGATGAGACACTCCGACTTAAATCTGACCAAAAAGGATTATTAATGGAATTACCTACGCACCTTGAAGTGAGCATTTATGGATTTAAAAGAACTGCAAGTATAGATATTCACTTCAGTTCACCTGAAGCGTGCTACTTAAGCTGCACAGCACTTCAGTTTTTTTTGTACAGCACCAGAGGTCTCCCTGCTACTCTTTACGTTGTGAGAAAAACCCTTAGAATATTTATGCTAGGCTTTCTGCAGGCAGCCTGCATTCATTACATGTCACTGTTTCTGTATTGAGCACATAACGCCGCTAACCTAAGGAAATAAGTAAATATAGGGAAGAGAACAGGCTTAAAGAGACACCTCTGGCCTGTATTACCTGAGTCGCTCTGGATGAAGGTGTAGACATGAATGCGTGTCCCCGTGCTCCCTGCATCAAACATCACCGCGTAGAAGATGCGGCTGTGGTTCGCCGGCCGACTGAGACTGGGAAGGATCCAGGAAAAATCCAGGAAAGAGTTCCCGAGTTGGGCTTGGCTCAGCCCTGTGACAGCGAGCAGGGCCAGGAGGAGAAGTGGCACGGCAGGCTTCATCTTCATTCTGGAGGATGAAAAACAAACAGAGCTTAAATTGTTTTGAAGTGCTCCAGAACTGCTCCTGGCTAGTACTGGGAGATGTTAAATTACAGCGTGACAAGCTACAGAGTGGTAGGAAGCAATTAAGTGATTTACACCTACTGTGTTTGACCACACCCCATCATACCTTTCAACCAACCCCAGAGATAATATATCTCAACTTCCTTACCTGCTTAGTCAACTCCAGCAGAACATTTAAGAAACATAAAAATTTCACCCTGTTGAACTTAAATTGGTTGACTTTGATCTTGATGTTCAATCGATACATGCCTGGCAACTGGAGCAAGTCTCAACATCTTTTTACAGAAGTGCACAATTATGAAACCTTAAAAACTCAAGTCAAGTGCTCCTATTAGAAACACTGCTGAGACAATGTCGCAATGATTGCAAAGAAATTTAACAGATATTTAACATCAGAAATGTTCTTCTAAATGCAAATTTCACGTTTTAATTTCAGCGATTGTACATGTGCTATGATTTGGAGCAAGTTACCAAAATGAACACAGTAAAAAGAAATGCTCGTCTGTGAGTCTTTCAAAAAAACAGGGTGAGGCAATTTTTATTTGTAGTCTCAATATCTGCTCTGAACATGGGGAAAAAAAAATCAGACCAATCTGCATAGATTAAACATCACAACCAGTGTGCTTGCAAATTTGGTGTAATCATTTGCAATCACAACTTGGTTTTTGATGTTACACTTCAATGGGAATAAAGGCTAAAAAATAATCCAAAACTCATTTTTGTTTTAAAGTTGTCCTGAAATTGTGATAAAAAATAAAACAGGAAAGACAAATGTATAGAATGTTATATGCAATTTCAGATTGTAAGAGGAGCATACAAATGAATGTGTGTGTGTCTGTCTGTCTGTCTACTGGTATTTTCCCATATGATCATATTTAAGAGTTACAGAGAATGATCCGAATAAGAGGAAATATCCAATGAATGGCAGTTCTCCGGACAAAAATGTCAGAGAATTGCCAAACTGCTTGGAGCTGATAGGAAGGCAACAGTCAACTCAAATGCCCACTCGTTACAACTCATCAAACCTTCAAGCAGACGGGCAACAGCAGGAGAAGACCACACCAGATGCCACTCCTGTCAGTCAAGAGTGGAAAACTGAAGCAACATCTCACACAGACTCACCAAGAATCAGACATGAAACAACCAAAGAATGGTGTGGGGGCACCTTTGCACCAAACCAGCATCATTTAAACACCACAGCCTACCTTAGTATTGTCACTGACTAAACCCACTCCTTTGTGACCACAGTGTACTCATCTGGTTTCTTGAACATGCCAAGACAGTGAGTTCCCTGTACTCAAACGGCTTTCACACTCACCAGACTTCAATTTAATAAAGCACATTTAGGATGTGGTGGAACAGGAACCGCAACAGTGGGATGATGTCATGTCAATATGGACAAACATCTATTAGGAATGTTTCCAGCACCTTGATGAATCCACGCCATGAAGAATTAAGGCAGATCTAAAGACAAAAGGGAGTCCAATCCGGTACTAGTAAGTGAAGTGGCCGGTAAGTGTATATAGTCCATATTAATATTTACTGGCTTGCTACACACAGCACATCAGTGTTTCAAGAAATCAAATTCAATTTGGAAGGGTATCAATTAGGTTGGTTAAGCTAGCAAACAAAAGTAATAACGTGCATGTGTGATGGCCGCTAATGTTTTAAATAGCCTGCATTAACATTTACTGTCTTTCGTTTGAACATGTAGCGATAACGTTATCCCAACTTTCCAGTTTTCTTATCTTACTTGTTAACACTACCCTGCGTACGACTGATAACTGAAGTTAGGCTGAAAGTTAACAGCGCTGACTCTTATTTAACATCCCTGTTGTATTAGTTTTCGCCAGCTATCGGATAACTCGCATGACTGAAGTGTTGCAGAAAGCTAGCCAGTGAAGTTTGAGAACAAGCTAATGCCAAGCAGACGGCACTGCGGAATCATAAAATAATATTAAAACTTGAACAGGGAATTCTTAAAAAAACACATGACAGCTAATTACACCACAGAGTATTAGCAGCTGCCCTAATTATGCCTTACTAAACGCGAAAACACCAGAGGCTCACCATGATGTCCGGCTAGCAGCACGCTGCTCACAGCTGACTCCCAGTGACGTCAGCGGCAGTGTTTTTGGTCTCGTGCTGAGCTCGCATAACACACTGGTGTCAAGAACAATAAACAGCTTGTTTGCTCAGTCCTGTGAATGGGAGGACGCCCGGTGCTTAATTTTGTGCTTGTGGAAGCATCCTCTCTAATGCTAACCTTTGACAGGGATTCAAAACAACAGGATCGCATTGAGTGGCAAAATTACCGCAAGTTCAAAGTTGCAACCTGCTTTTCATCTTCGGAGCTCATTATTAGTATTATTATTATCATTATATGAATACATGAACAAAAACGGAATTATTTCAACAGAAATCACACCACAACTGAGTCCTGTTATAGTGGCTTTATTCAGTCAAGTAGCCACACTAACTGCAGCACAGTTTCATACTATAAATGCCATCGTAATGGTTAATAAAGAATATATTTGACATGAAATATATTTAACCCATGACCAATACTATGACAGTACAGTATAAAACTGTGAACTTTAATTTGACACGCACACTAATCTCCACATTGGACAGTATACAGCAGGGTTATGTCAGTTTCACTGAAGTGAGGAAATGTCTGTGTCCATGTTCTCATGTAGGCTTTTGCCTATTCACATATTGAACCGATGAAGCTAATGAAACACACAGGGGATAACAGTGGAAGACATTTGCTGTAACTACTCAGCGTCAGAATCGCTGATCTTTGTGCTTTCACGGCACTCAACGGATCATGAAAAAGGACTAGCCACTATGAAGTCATGATCCCACTGCTCTGTACAGGAAGTGAGGAGAAAAATGGGTTCAAAAAAATACGCAATAAACCAATGTACAGATTCACAGCATCACTGATTAAGTCCATTTTTTATCTTCACTTCTAAAGATGTAAATTGTGACCGGTATTTGTTTTAACTTTGTAAATCCTGACATTCGTTTTCTTTGCTGCCCAGTCACTAAGTAATCATCCTCAGTATGAACATTTGACCAATCAAAAGATATCGTAACCACTTCCAATCCCTCGTTGGGCTTCTTAAGGCATGTAAGAAGTCTCTGAAGGTTAGATGCACTGTCAGTTTAGCTTAGCGTCCCATGGTTGGCATTGTGACAGCCGGGCTTGTCAGAGTGGCATCCTCAGCCTTCCACTGCGACGTAATAGTCTTGATCTGAGTGTAGAATTGGATGCCCTAGTGGTAAAGTGATAACAGATATGTCAGTGAGCTATCTAGCACATGACAAAGTGTCTGCATTGTGCTCTTTCAATACTTCAGTGGAGGGAACAGCAATGATCTGAGGGGATAATAAACTACTTCTGCTACTTCTGCTATTTACCTGCTTGCCATAGAAGTTGGTATCTCCCCTGAATGAACCTCTGGAACCAGTGAAGGAGAACATGGGGAGTGGGACGGGGATGGGCACATTCACACCAATCTATAAAAACGCATGTGTGGATTATGAAAACACAAATCTATTGCAGGCTAGAAATACAACAATGATCAAAGCATAATTTGTTTAATTTGGCCAGCTTACAAAGGGAGTAAGGCCTGGTGTTTAAAATCCAAGATCAACATACAGTTTCAATAAAAACAGACCCGTGAATATACATTTAAGGAGCCTATCAGCACCACTGGACCAGCATTCAATTATCAGCCAGTCCAAAGATGAACTACAACTTGGCTCCTGCTGCACTAATCCACACATTTGGGATTCGTCCATGTTTTAATGCATTGGCAGGTAATATATGACATAGTTTCAGCTGGCAGTGTAAAACCAGCTTCACTCCAATAAAAACATTCCCACTTCACATGTCTGCTTTACTTTTTCAGAAATAAAGCGCCTCCCACGCAAACCCGCTTACTCATCCAAGGCTCAAACAGGTGACTCACCGTGGCCTGAAATTAGGGCTGAACGATTATGGAAAATAATCTAATTGCGATTTTTTGCCCCAATATTGCGATTGCGATGCGATATGCGATTATTTTTTAAGGTATTTGTCTTCTGTATTATTAAACAAAGACAAGCAATACATCATATAGTATGGCCAATACTATATTACATTAATTTTAAACTGTTCTTTCCTGGAAGACAGACCTCTGTTATGATGACATGAGGTGATGCATGAATTGATGACTGACATTTTTATTTAACTTCTTCAATCACAACAGTATATTTGAACATACACAATAGTTTATTTTTAGCTTACAAACATCTGAGCATAAAGTGCTGACAAGGAACCCTGGTGTAAACATTAAAATGAAAGTCAGTACAATGTGCAGATTGCAGAAATATACATAAACAAAATCAGTGGCTTTACCACACTCAGTTTTTCGACATCTGTGAACTACTAGACAGTCATTCAATTAAAAAATAATATTAAATAAATAAAACTAATAAATAAAAAATACACACATCTTACTGATCTCTGCAGTCAGTAACATTACACATAAAGTGCAAACATAATAGCAATTGTATAAACACACACACAAACACGCCTTTAAAGTTTAAAGGCGTGAAATTGGACGGTCTAGTTCTGATTAGCGTCACCGCTGTCTCGGTGGAGTTTAATAAACTCGCCGTCTGCTTCTTGCTATCTAAAATATAACCAGACACTGGTGTAAATTCTCGACTGTCTCATACTTCTGTTTAATAAGTTTTCTGTTTGACGTTTAGTCAGCTGTGTGAAAACCAAGGAGGAACCCACCCGGGGGATTAATAAAGTTTTATTTTATCTAATCTAATAACTTTAATCTCAGCCAAACCGATTTACTCACGAACAAACAAAACACTGAAAAAAGCCCAACAATAACATTTTTAGGTTGTCTAAGTGACTTATATATTACGTTTAACCCGAGCAGCGAAACTCCGCGGTGATCTGAAAATGATGTGCAGGGAGTTGTGCCGTTCTCGGCCGCATCAGTAACCCTCGAGCTCCCGGCTAGCTGTCGAGCTGGTGGGTAGCAGACGCCTCTGAAAACGTCGAAGCACTTTTGCAAATATGGGATATCTTGATAAACCGAGCAGATATTTGATGTTTACACAACTACTTTCTCGCCTGAAAATATGTTAAAAGTTTATTTTGTGACCCAGAAAGATTAGTATGAGTAATTTTAAAACTTAGTAGCGGCCGCCATTGCTGGAAACTGGAGTTTGGCTGGGCCGCGCTATGAATTCTGGGATATGGTAGTAATTTGGACAGCCTTCGGCGCGTCGCTGTGACGTAATCGGTCTACAAATGCGGCCTCAGGAGGATGCAGCCCATGAATTGTATAATATAATCGCAGTATAATCGCAGCCTTTGCGGTTAGAAAATTGCACTTGATCATGTCGCGATATTATCGCAAATGCGATATATCGTTCAGCCCTACCTGAAATACCACAAAGGTGGCCGGTTAACACGCTTGTTTGAAACTATATCTTCAGCAAACAAAGAGCTTCATGTTTTAAAGTCTCTCACCTGGCCGACGTCCACCTCGTGTGTGTATTTGCGAGCTGTGGCTCCATTGGTGGTAAAGATGGCCGTGCCGTTACCGTAAGGGTTTCGGTTGATTAAAGAAATGGCTTCGTCCAGGCTGTCGGCCTCCAGGACAACAAGGACCGGTCCAAAGATCTCTTCTTTGTAACATTTCATGTTGGGCTGAAAAGAACAGCAGAGGGAAAACGATCAGGACTTCAAACTCTACAAAGGAATTCTTAACAGAACAAAGCACGAGCAGGTTTGTGTCGGGGAAGAAAGGTGAAAAACTGCTTTAAATGCATTTCACAGCACTTACAGCTACTTTCTATTTTAAGGTCAGCTTTGTGTGACACTCAACACTTATAACCAGAAACCAGAACGGATCGGGGGGGGACTCTCATGCTGAGAGGGCTGCTTGTTGAAGATTCAAACGTTCAGGCTTACGAATAAAAGCATTTTTAAATCTACTTTTAAAGCCAAAAATCTGAATTTTCACAGAGGTCTGTTCTAAAGATGTGCTCAGCAGGAGGGGAAAATCAAAATCTGTGGTCACATTCAAGGAGATGAGGACTGATTTTGTTTCATTTCCAACAACCCTAATCAAAGACACTGAACTGATTGAAGCGATCATTTATTTTTGCCTCAGATAATTACAGCACCTACCAAAAACAAAAAAAGTTATTACATTAAAACATTCTAGACAGTTTAGTTTAACATTACTTTAATAGCATCTGACCCAAATTAAAAGTTCTCAGCTCACCATAACACCAGCTAAGATGGTAGGTCCTACAAAGTTTCCATTTTCATATCCTTTGACTTTAACATTTCTCCCGTCCAGCAGCAGCTTGGCACCTTCATCAACCCCACTCTGGATCAGAGACTCTACCCTGGCTTTGGCTTCTGGGGTGATCAAGGGACCCACATCTGCCCCAGGCTGATCACCTAAAACACACATTTTGACGTGTAAGAAAAACGGCAGTATGCATGCCAACTGACGTAATTTATTTATTTATTTTTCATGGCGATACGGTTACACAACAAGTTACCTGAGTTTACGCGGAGCGATTTAGAGCGCTGCACCAGCTCTGGGAGCCATTCACGAGACTCCCCAACAAAAATAGCAGTGGAGAGAGCCATGCAGCGCTGGCCAGCTGCTCCAAAA